TCAAACCGATAGAAAGCCAAAGGTGATCCAAAATCCCCTTCAGAGTCCTCCCCTACTGTTTCTGAGCCAAAATCCAGCAAACGGATCAATTCCTTCAACCCTTTATACATTCTCAATTCCTTCACTAATACAGACGCAGCCTCTTAACTTAACTGAAATTTTGAGTCACATCCCACACACACCGTAACTCCATCCAGACCTACCGACGCTACCATCAGTGATATATTCTCCCTTAATAACTCAGGAGAAGAACTCAACAGAATATCCAGTGTATGATTCCTCAACTGTCCCACCTCATCTTCTACCTCTGCATCCAGCCCCATCCCCTCCGAATCCACTGGAGACAACACCCCATTTCTCACCGACTGTCGGTCAGCCTCCACCCCCATTTCCTCCCTTAACACCCCACAAGAAGGAATAGAATAAGAAGAAGTAGACAGAAAGCTCCAAGAATTAGAGAAAAAAGACATACCAGGTTAGCTTTCCTTTGGGCAAACTCATTTTTGTTTCTCCTTTCGTGACCAACGCTTCCTATCTCTAATTGTGGCATCACCATCCTCAAAAGAAGTTAATGGCAGAGACCAAAAGCTATTGTCCGAAGCCATCTGCACACAGCAACTCCCATGGCGAAACCTTTTCCCCTTGCGACTGCTATACGAACTAGATCTAACCCAGTTCTCTTTCTCTGATCGCATCCAGTGTCTATAAACTTCACCGAGGCCCATTACAGTATTCCCCACCTGGGCTTGGCCCAACCCATTCACTCTAGATCTCCTCTCCTCTTCCTTCGAGCCCAAACCCAAAACTTTAACGGACAGGATCTTATTAGGGCCCCAAAATACAGCCCTATCTCTCTTCTACTGGACCAAGTTATTAGGCTCATACCCATCATTGGGCTGGTGCTTATGAATATAAGGACCAACTAACCTATTGCGCGGCCCATTAAGTGGCCCACGTCCCCCAGGCCCAGCCCCTTCCAGCACCTTATCCGTAATATGCGAAACCCTATCCCCTACACATGCACGCCTCCACTCCACCCCTTCCCCACTCGCCATCTGCGCGTACAATTCATTTTGTCCCTGACTTGGCTGCCATCCATCTTTCTCCATCTAACCAAGCTCGCCGAACGGACTGAACCAGCATCGGATCTACGCGACACACATCCCTTCTTCTCAAAATTCAAAGATGCCATGGGTTTCGCCACCACAGAAAAAGCAATCTCCTCCGTCATTGAGATCTTGAAAGCCCAATCTTTGTCTTCAACGATCACAAACTTCGGGAGAACCCCACAGTCGTCCACCGTGATGACTATCCTTTCTGTCTCGCTCTCAGAGACCTCAACCTCCCTAAACCCACCACATAATTAACCTATTGATTCAAAGAGTTCCTGGCACCATAGATGGAGTGGAAGGCCAAACAACACTATCCATCTCTGCCTTGTCATTTTCCTCATCCCCAACCACCCAACTCTGTAACACCACGGATCTATAAGCAGCTCTGCATCCCCCCAAGATTTCTTCCCCCATCATAACACCCTATGCGCTTCCTTCTCTGAAGGAAATCGAAATAGCAACATAAAGTTTTGGAGCTCCACTCAGCCTCTGATAGGGTGTTAAACAAATTTGCCTTCTCTCTCTCAATCTCCTCTACGAAGAATCCCTTGTGTTAGCTTCGAGCTCCACTCAGCCTCTGATATCAGCATTCTTGACAGATGTGGAACGATCTCCTCACATCATCACGAACTATCATCTACAGTTTCCAATTAGGCCCATGAATCCCAACGCTGGCAAAATTCCATTTTTTGTGAGTCCGTCTCTCCCATAAATAAATGGCTTCCCTCGTACGGTTTGGTCCTTAGAAAATAAAATTCAAAATGAGAGGACTCCTCTCCTTAGTTTGCTCTATATGAAAATAGGACCACACCACAAAAAGAGCTCTCTGTCATTGTAACCTTCAATACCACTTTCCTTAAGAAAAATGTAAACACAACATGTCATCAATTCTTTACAATGTCAGGCTATAAACCAAGTCTAGTTCAAATGAACATCTTTTCATGTTTACCACTAAAAAACTCTCACAAGGACTTCCTTCACAGTATGACAAATCCTTGAAGATTAAAGAATAAAACATCTTACTTTGTCATTGATGGTTTAATAATTTGTGAAACAATCATTATCTAATTGAATAACTCTATTGATTTAATAATGGTCATGCTTTTAGGACACACAAGTTAACAGTTCTTATAACCTCTTTTGAGTTTTAGGCAACCGTAAATTCTTTAGAAGTTCAACCGATGCTTAAGTATAGACCTCTTGCCTATTTCGTGTAGCTGTCTAAATTTCCATCAAAATAATATCTATTATGACCTACATTCTTCGACTTCCAAGAAATTGGAAAGAAAGAAAGGATACTTTACTTCAGTATACAACCAAATCTATAATTTCCCATTATTCTACAATGTAAAAAGTCTTGCCTCTTGCTATTTGTGGGACATCATATTTACTAGACAAAAAAGAACCAATGTGGTTTACATAGCAAGTCTTAACAACTATCCCAAATGGATTTACATCCAAATTCCTTGGATTAAATGAGCTACAATAGAGATGTCACAACAGATTCAATATAAAACAGAATAAAGCAAATACAAAGTATGCCTTGGAAAAGGTCCTGAATTTGCACCATGACTAACACAAGCCAATCAGCATTTCCATGTTAAATTGTCCACTTGCTACATAAGTATAACAACTTTTTGTATCAGATTAGTGCATGACAAACACAATTTTATGTTTACATTATGGAAGCAGAAATTGTCAGCAGCACTGAAAAAGGAGTTTGCAGCATGACTTTTTCTTTTCATAGAAGTTTTAAAGTCCTAAAACTTGGCATCAACTACACAAATCCTTTTTGCCGCCATCATTCATCTAGAGCTATAATTTCCCCTAGGAATTTTTTTTTTTTTTTTTTTTTTTTTTTTTTTTTTTTTTTTAATGAGTAAGATTGTATTAAAAAAGGTTCAAGAGGGGACCGCATTCCTCAAAAGCCACATAGGGCCTTTAAACTCTCAAAGAGTCCAAAAAAACCAATTAACTCCTCCATGGATTTACAATATGTCCCTAGAACCCAACAAAAAAGATTACTAATGATGGAGAACTTAAGCACACCAATAGGAGTCTCCTTTCCTTCAAAGAATATCCTATTTCTTTCAAGCCATAAACACCACCAAACGCACAAAAGCGTGACCCTCCAGAAATCACGAACTTGGGCCCCACTATACAACCTCTCCAAGCCTCAACTAAGCCTCTAGAATACCTGGGCACAGTGTTGTTAAAGGCACGCCTAGCGCCTGTTGTCATCCTAGGCTCACTGATGTTTACTAGGCGCGCGCCTCGGTTGCGCCTCGTCCTGTTTGTGAGGCGCGCCTCACTGATATTTGTTTAAAAAAAAACGATTATTCTATTTCTTAAGCCAAAAAGGATACTTTTGGCAACTTAATAAACAAAAAGAAAGTCCAATCATATTATAGAAGGAACTTTTGTTCAAAAGAATAAAAAAATAAGAATGCCCAAGAGTCAAAGTGTTAACCGAACAACGATAGAATGAGATTGTGAGACGAATACGAAGCCCTAGTTGCAGAGATGAACGACGAAGCCACGTCAGTTCTTTCTTTCTTCTTCTTCTTCTTCCTCCCTTCTCCTCTAGATCTCTCCTCTCTTCTTATCTTTGTTTACATCTCTCTCTTCATCTAGTTCTCTTCTCTCTGTTCTTTTTTTTTTTTTGCTCTGTTTTTTCTTTTCTCTTTTCTTGTTAACAATTTTTTTTTTTTTTCGTTAACATATTTATTACTTTTTGTGCTTTGTTTTGTCATTCAGAAAAACACAATTTGCTTTGCCTTTCAAGAAAACAAATTTGTGCTATGTTTTATGGTTTTTGGATGCTTGTATAGTTGATGGATTTACTTTTTTATATTTGATATTAATTTTTAGAATATTGATATGACTTATGAGATATGAATGTTATTAAGGTCTTTTAAATTTTCATTGTGCACCTCACTTCACTCAGGCGCGCACCTCGCGCCTAGGCTCCAAAGAACCTCTAGCGCCTTGGGCCTTTAATAACACTGCCTGCCCAGTGAACCCCAAACAAACCCAAAAACAAAGCCCAGCAATCACGAGCCACTGGACAACGCAAAAGAAGGTGATTCCCCTAGAAAATATACCATCAATATTCCTGCACGCCTAAACCTGCATTCTTTTTGGCCTTTTTATTGTCCTCACAGTACCTCCAAGATCAAAACATATTACTCCTTGATGAATTCATTCTCTATGTTGCACACAATCGAGCAATTTAAGATCACTCACAGTTATCCTTAATTGGTGTCACCTTTAATTTCTAATAGACTCATGCATTCTAATACTATACTATACTATCAATATATATATATATGGATGTATGTATATGTATGTCTTGGTGTGTGTGTGTGTATATGTTGCCGCTCATCTATTTAATATTGCCATGTCATTTATCTATTGACTATTGGTACCTGAGAAACCACAGACTATTCCATGGAGCAGATTCCCTAGCGAAAGTTGATACAGACTTGTACATGTTATAAACAAATATTTATTGAATGTCTTTATAATTTAAAAATAAGATTATTGATTCTGAAAAATAATTTAAAAATAAGATTACTGATTCTGAAAATGTGATCCATACTTCTACGACATGTGACCTTTTTAGCATGGATTATATGTATAGCTAACTGTTCAGCTTTGTATCCATGAAATTAGATTATTTAAATCTTTAAATACATGTCTGTTGCCCCCTTTTGTGAAAATGATGATTTCAGAAAACAATTTTTTTTTTTTTTTTTTTTTACAAGTATAGAAGGAAACAACTTAATATCTGATTCTACCAAAATACTTACTTTCAAGAAAACAAATTTTTTTTATAAGTATAGAAGGAAACAACTTAATATCTGATTCTACCAAAATAATACTTACTTTCATGTTGAACATAATGTTCTTGAGCTCCGTCACGACCTCTCCCATCTTGTATCGGCTCTGAGGGAGGTCGATGTTACCGTAGTAACTCCTCCGGTACTCCTCCGCGGACAGATGATCATCATCCACCTCTTCCACTGCCTTGTCCTGCAGAGAGTTGCCTGAAACCCTCAGGTTCAGCCCTCGCTTCCGGGTCCCCGCCATGTCCAGCCTCGCATATTTCTTGTCTTTCATCACCTTGCAGGACTTGCTGGAGAATGCTGGCACTTCTTTCAGAAATCGGTTGAATGCTCTGTTTTTCGTACCCTCGGCGTGATGAAGCTGTTTCGAGAGCGAGTCCGAATCCAAATTGTTAGTTGGAATATCTGACTCGGAATTGGAGTCGGAAGAAGCGAAGGTGCGGAGGGAACAGACAGCCATTCGATTTAGGAGCTTCGAGTAGATTGTGGTGAGAGCTCTCGATGCGATTGTTGCATCTAGGGTTTCTGGGTGTGAGAGAGAGGAGGGGTATAGAGCTCTTGATGCCATTTTTGCATCTAGGGGGGGGGGGGGGTTTTATACTTTTTAAAAACAATTTTCCGAGTTCAGAGTTGCAAACCTGTTTCTGTCATTGTGACTATTTGTGGAAAACTAGTGGTAGTGGTTAGGGTTTGGCCAAGAACTGATTGACGGATGGAAGGCGAATGGGGTTGAGCTAGGAGAAATTATTGTATGAACCAAGTCCACCATCTCATTTTGCTGAGTTGGTGGACTACACCAATCAATTGTTGACAGGTGTAATAAAAAATTATTTTTTTGTTTAATTTGCCAACGCACAGATGAGTGAAGAGACGGAGAGAAACATAGGCCCCGCTTGCCTTGATTCTTCCAAAACAATTTTCTGTTTTAATAGTTGCAAAAAACTGAAAACTCCTAAATTGGTCTACTTGGTTCTGTTTTTGAAAAACTGAGATAAATGAGTAAAGGTATTTGGAGAACAACTTTGGGCTGTTTTCTGAATTTTCTAAAACCTATTCTCTGTTGAGGGAAAACACGGAGAACACTTTGTTCGCTTAAAAAAAATGACAGAACCCTTCTCGTTTAAAACCTTAGCCGTACAAGCCCTCCTTACAATCTCTCTTCAAGCATTTTCTCTCAGATTTCTTGGTTACGGTCTCTCTTCAACCCATCTTTCAATTTCTTGAAGCTCATGATGGTCGATCTGCGCTTCTGCGGTTGTCTCTCTTCGTTCGGGTAAAACTCTCTCACAAATTCATTGATATTCTGTGGTTGTTCACACTTCCGATTTGGGTTGAGGGTTGATGATTTTCTTTGGTTGTGTTGGATTTTCTGTGGTTGTTTACACTTCCGATTTTGTGTAATTTGGTTAAGGGTTGATTATTTGACCTGTTGGATTGGATTGTGTTGGGTTGAGGTTTGATTATTTACTTTGGTTGTTAACACTTTCAATTTGGTTTGATTGTCTACAATTTCAACTGTTTCTAATTTTAATTAGGGTTAGATAACAAACAACACTGAAAACCCATTAAGGATTTGAACTCTCCCCAATCTCTCTTGATATTGGTATCGGATTATCCATATTTGGGTTCTCTATTGAATGTGAATTGGATAATTTTCTTTTTTTATTTTTTTAATTAATTTGCATCGTTTATTGGCTTTTGATTTCCAGTCCTTGTTATTTTCTATTTGTTCAATCTTGGACTCAAAGTTCTTTTTTTTTTCCCTATTAATTTGATGAGCAATTTTTATTTGATCTTTCTACATAGTTGTTGTGGTCCTCTTGCTATTCTGAAGAATGAAACTTAAACTAGTGTTCTATTCTATGTTGTCAAAAGGACTTTTTTCTGTTTACACCACTTTTTAAATGACAAATTTGGTTAGATCTCATTTTGTTTAGTATTGAATCTTTTCTCTCTTTAGAAAATTGATTCTAAATATCTAAATTCATTACAGAGGGCATCACTTTTTTTTGGTTGAGTTTATTCTAAGTGCTTCTCTCTCCCTTTGTTTGGCACATTGATGTGTATTAGGAGTGAATATGATAGCTTGTTCAGACTTTTATTTTTGACAAATAAACCTTATATGTTCTATTGGTGATTCCTATTATCTACCTTTGACATTTTCAAGACTTAATAAAATACAAATTTGTCATCACCACTTCAAAATTGGTCTTGCCTTGTTTGTATTTAAAAGATCTTGCTTCCGATTAACTTTTTTTCTAGGTATTTTTTGAAAATTTTTACTGGATTGGAATGTGTCAATTATTTTTTAGTTTGGGATTTTTTGATTTCTTCCTCCCCATATCCTAAACCATTGAATGGATCAAACTCACAGTACTTTATGGTTATGACTTTAGTTATGAGAATGTAGAAATATTCAATTTGAGTATCCTAACTCATTGGTTGGTATGTTAGATTGTTTGGTCATGTACTCTTTTCTTATTGTTTATAAAAATGTGTTCTTATTGTTTCATATAAAATTTTGGACTTTGCAGAGGTAACTCGTTACATGATATTATGGTATGTTAGCATTTTTTCTATTTGATCTTATTTAAAAGGAAACACATCCCTCTTTTTTATTACTTTGATTTGGTACATCTAACTATGCTCTCACATTTAGTCAATCTTGATTCAATGAATTTTATTCTGTTCAAAATATGAAGATTGAGGATGTTGTTTACCATAAGAGTGTCCATTCATTTTGGATCAAGTGATCTGGTTTAGTTCAGGGGATAAAGTTGAGGATTGAGTTTGTAGTTTTCAATTTAGGAATGTTTTATCATCTGGTATCAATGTGTTATGTTTAGTTTATTGCTGGACTTGCATGATTTTATTTTTCTTTATTTTTTATTTATTTTTTGCAGCTAGGCATGCTTGTGCTTGTAACTATGGTGGAGCATTTTGCAACTGGCATCCATTTGTGTCATTTGTGGTGAGGCTATTAATGATGATACAAACCAATTGTTTGGGTTTAGTTATGTCAGTTGCTTCATTGGGCCTGACCTTCCTTTTCAACTCTTCATGATGTAATACCCCTAATTTTAAAAGGATAGTCTCGACATTTTTAATATTTATTGTATAGCATTTTTATTTATTTTATTGTCTTTATCGCATTTTTATTTATTTTATCGTTTTTCATTTATTTAATTGGTTATTTGAAATTTGAATTAAATTGGTTTCATGTGCATTATTTGGTTTATTTAAATTCTTAATTGTTGTGTCTATTTTCGTAAATTATTAATTGTATTATTTGTAATTCACTGTTTTAAACTTAGGAAATTAACTTACTATAAATCTTGTAATGTTAAAAATTAAGTTACGTGAGTTTTAAAATACATTAATTGACTCACAATTTCTTTTGGGCATCAACATAGAATTTAATCATAGGTTTTGTTTATGGGCCGACTAGGATTAAGGATTAGGGCTCTGTCTCTAAAATTACAAGGATTAGGGTTTTAGAGTTAAACCTATAAATACAACCATTATGCTTTAGCCTAGGGTTTACGATCATAATTCAGATTACATAAACGTGAAGTAAGTTCTTAGCACAGAGGGTTGTGAACGGAGGCACTATAGGAATTATCAAAGAGAAGAACAGTGAGTACCAAGGGAGGATTTTGGTGGATTAAACCAAAACCAGAGGAGGCTAGAAGGTAGTATGTGGTTGCCGGAAGTTAGGACGACGGCGACAAGTTTTGAGTCTAAAACTACAGGCAAGTTCTTATCTTCTTCCTTCCCTTTGGCTTGTGTTCTGTGCACCTAGATAGTCTCTAGGAGATTAATTGGCCTTAAACTGAACCATGCATGTTTTATATATGTTTTACTTGATCGTTTTATCTGTGAAAAATTTTATTGACAAAACAATTATAGCACGTATGTTTTTCTTGTCTCTGTTTTGGCATAACGTCCCACTGTTCTAATTTTTATTTTGAATCTTACTGAAATCAACCAAGGTCTGAATGGATACTAGATGTAATTTAAGACCTTCAAATTTAAATTGGAGGAAGAACAGAGGGGTTGGGATAGAACTGATGTTGCAATTTAGTTTCAGTGTTGTTCTTCAACAATGCTAGTTTAAATGGCTTGATTAAACTCTGTAATTATTTTCAAAATTATTGTAAACAACCTTGGGGGATACTTTTAGACTAAATTAAGATTCCTAAAATTAGTTTTTAAACCAACAGAGTGGTAGGAATTGATCAGAGAATGAGCGGACGGACTGAAACGAAGCAACGGGGACAGAGGCTCTCAAAAGAGGTGAGAGCCGGCTCCATGGATGTGGGAGCCAGCTCTCACAACAAGTAGAGCTGGCTCTAAGGACTCCTAGAGCCAGCTCTAGGCTGAAAGAGCCTGCTCCCAAAATTTGGAGCAGGCTCCCTTTTGCAATATACGTTAAATTTTTATTTTTTTTTAGTTTTAAGGCACTGTTTGGTATTCTGGACACTATTTGAGCCTTGGGATGCTTCTAATGGATTGTGGGGACTTTTCAGAGGATTTAATTACTTAATTCTAAGTGTGATTAAACTAGTTGATGCATGGTTTAAGTCTATAAGATAAAGGATAAAACAGTATAAAAGCGAATGACTTAGTACATTGTTATCGGATGGGACGAAATAAATTGTTTAGGTTAATCTAGCAATTTGTTGGACTATAATGGGATTATAGAATTTGTTCTAAATGCATGATAGAGTCATTGATATATTGGATTGGGTCTATGCATGCTTTGGATGCTAGTTGTGTAAACTATTAAACTGTTTCCTGCAATTACATGGTTTAATTCTGGGATTTAAATTGCTGAAATCTTAAATACTTTTCTGCAATTATTTGGATGGTGGTTTTGGACTGTAAATTACTTGTTCATTATGTATACATTGTAATTTACCTGGATATGGAGGATTGTATGCACCGGTATGGGACGATGACATACTAGGGACGGTTTAGCTCAAAACGCATAAACCTGACCTAATGGATTAATGGAATGGATTGAAAGATATCGAATCCTAATTGTGACCAAGTCAGATCAGCTGTAACCAAGTTGGATGACTTCCTGGATTAACGGATGGTAGTTAAGTCATATCAACTGAATAAGTTGAGTGACTAACTAGTTGGTTTGTTGTATGTCAGTTTAATAAATAGTTGAATTACATACCCTGGATTTGGACGGACTTTATATATATTTTTATGGTACCACGAGTTGAGCTTGAGTCTCAGACTCGTTGGTTAGGGTGCGTATATGCAGTGGATGCGTAGCTGGTTATAATAGGTTGAGGTGTGCCCTGTTAGGTCTAGGTACTCATGCCCACATTTGGGTGCGTATTCGCATGTTGCCTTCTATTCAGGTTGAGACCCCTATTATAGACTAGTGAATGTCCCTTAGTGTGGATATATTTATACGTATGGACTAGATAGATATTGTGAGGTGTCTACGGTGTATCTGCGTATCGGGTCACTGTATGGATTGCAGTTAGATTAGAACTTGCTCGTGGGTCTGACCCACTCCTTCATTATTCTTTTCAGGTACAGGACGGTTCCAGCCTTAGAGCTTGATCGTGCTTGTCGAGGACAGTCTCATCTTCATCTGATTACGTAGGACTTCCTCGATGTTTCTAGCATTATCTATTTTCAGTTTTCAGTTTCAGTTGAACTTTTGGTTAGGGGTCCATCAGTGGATTCCCAAGTTGTAACCTTGAAGTTTTGGGAGGATTGGAGTTTTATTATTTCAGTTATGCATGGAGGGTTTTATAAATAATGTTTCTTTTATTCCATCTTTATTATTTCATTTTGTCATCTGTGTTCGCTTTAAAATACTTTAATTGTTTGATATTCCCTCGGGTTTGGGCCTGGGCCTGATCAACCCGTGTCTCGGATCCGAGGGGTATCACAATGATTTGGTGATATAATTTGATAATAATATCAAACAAGTTCAGAAAATGTTGTTCTCTTCTTGGGGGATTTGGCAAAAAAATGAAAGTACGGTTCACTACTCTTGATGCATCATCATCATTTGTCAAGCTTTTTTGCCGTTTTGAGTGGTCTGTTAGGCAGTCCATGTTGATTTTTCATAGAGGGTATGCTCTCTTTAAGTATGTACTAAATGCTTGATCTTTTGGTTCAATATAATATCTTCATAAAAATAATAATAAAAAATAAAAAATAAAAAAAAAATTGTATTTGAATATCAGGATATTGGATTCAATTTCTTTTTTAGAGAGTTTATTTTTTATTTATTTTTATGGTTGCAATTTATAAATGAATGGGTTACACATCTTATTAAAATGTCTCTATCCCAATCCATGCATGATACACACGTCTTAATACTAAATATTGGTGTACTGAATGCACTTAATTTAAATATATATATATATATATATATATATATATATATATATATATATATATATATATATTTACATTAATAGTTAATTTCATAGATTAAAATTTAGGAAGAAAAAAATTCATAGATTAAAAAAATAAAAGAGTGAGGTATAATAATATTTTTATTTATTTTATTAGTTCAGAAAATTAATTTTAAAAACTCATACAACCAAGTAGTTTTATGAGTTTTTATTTTTCGGAAACTGTTTTGTAAATTCTCTTAACCAAGTAGGTTTAAAATTTGAAAAAACTGAAAACTGTTCTCTCTTCTGATTCTCTGAAAATTGTTCTCAAGAACAGTTTTCAGAAATGCAATCCAAGCAAGGCCATACTTTTTCTCTCTCTTCTTTGGGTTTCGTTTCCTTTTTTTGTTGCCATTGCCGTTGCTCCATCAAAGCCGAGCTCTGAGAAGCTCACAGCCGAACCACCATGGACGTCGTCAAACAAAATCACCGACAATATACATTAGAAACGAATGATGAGTAAGCTCAAAAATTATCCCCAAACTTTTAAGAAAGAAACTGTAACCTACACACGTTTACATACACGTGTATATATATATATATATATATATATATATATATATATATATATATATATATATATATATATATATTATCCCCAAACTTTTAAGAAAGAAACTGTAACCTACACACGTAACCTATCCCCAAACTTTTAAGAAAGAAACTGTAACCTACACACGTAACCTACACACGTTTACATACACGTGTATATATATATATATATATATATATATATATATATAGAGGGAGGGAGAGAAGGACAAGCCTTTTGCTAGCATCTTGGATTTGATTTTCATAAGCAAAATCTGAAAATTGAAGTCCACTAGCAGACAAAGAAGATAAAACAAACAAATAAAATTTGATTGAGGCAGCACCACTCCAAGTCACAGCCACCATCACCGGCGAGCCCTCTCAGGTAATTGCAGATTCCCTCCCCGTTCCAGTTCACCGTACTCCAAATTCGCCCATTTGATGGCAAACCAAGCAATCGTCGAAGCCACCTACAGAGCGATGAAGATTCATATCGTCGATTTTGGGATCGGGCGATGGCAGAGCTAGACTACGAAGCCAATGATCGGCGTTGAACAGAGATCGGCGTTGGTGACAATAAGGGAAGACTCTATTGAAGGTGACGATGGTAGCGGGAACATCAGGCGGAGGATAATGGAGTGCTCATCGTTCCGTTCTGACTATCAGAACAGTCATGACCAATTCCATAACTGCCGTCAATGAGACATTACATTCTCGAGTTCTCTGCCATGATTCTATCGCCAACGACGACGTCCACGGTGGTTCGGCTGTGAGCTTCTCAGAGCTCGGCTTTGATGGAGCGACGGCAGCGGCAACGAAACCCAAAGAAGAGAGAGAAAAAGTCTGTTTCTCTCTGTTTCTTCACTCATCTATGCGCTGGCAAATTAAATAAAAAAATAATTTTTTATTACACCTGTCAACAATTGATTGGTGTAGTCCACTAACTCAGCAAAATGAGATGGTGGACTTGGTTCATACAATAATTTCTCGTTGAGTTGGGGGCAGGGAAGGAGGTCCAGGTGATGGGTTCAGTCCCAACTCAATCTCAACTCGAAATCGGGTTGGGTTAGACCACCCTGAAATCTATTCAAAAATAGATTATGTCCATAACCTGAATCTAAATATTTGGACGGGTCAAACAGGTTTCGCATGTGTTCTTTTTTTTTTTTTACAAATATATAAATTACATTCTTGTTTGAAAACATCAAATTTTAGATTTTCAATTCATTACTACTTTTTCGGGGTTTTTTTTTCAATTAATTACTATTCAATTTTTTTTGTGTGCTTCCAACTCTAATTTTATTTTCATTAATACAATTGATGGATGTATAATTTATATACCTGTAGATTGGGGAAGGTTGTTAAATTAATGCACTATCTCATAAGATTGAAATAGATTATATAGATTACGAAAAGGATTAAGACGACGGTAAGTCTACGTTACATCCTAACCTAAGCCCTATAAATAAAGGGGTTAATCGACGTTTTAAGGTATGCAATAGATCCTAACTCAATTTCTTGATTTCTCTAGAGAGATTGCTTTGTATACTGACTTATTCGTCGGAGCCTACTCCACCGGTAACACACCGGTGCCTGTAGGATCACATTTTCTTTTCTTTGTTCAGAAAGTCAGATCAAATCCGGGTTGCGTAGAATCCATCATCAACAGTTGGCGCCGTATGTGGGAACGATTTTAGTTCTCTAAACAAAGCATGGTTCAAATGCTATCTGGTCTAGCTGCTGGCGAGGACGAAACGTTGCAGACTTCTGATCAAGGGGACTCGACGAGGCAACCAACCGTCGTCCCAAATGATCAGGAACGCGTCGCAACGTTAGAACAATAGGTTTAAACCTTAAATAAGGGAATTAACCAATTAGTCCAACAAAATTACCGCGAGTTGAGGAACCGGACATACCCTTTTTTTGAAGAAGATGACAAGCGAATTCACCAGCCCCATAATGATCCTTTGGTATTTTCCATGGTCATCGCTAATTTCACTGTTCGACGAATACTGGTTGACAATGGTAGCTCTGCTGACATACTATTTCTTGGGGTGTTCGACAAATTGAAAATCGGCCGAAAGAAGCTACGGCCCACGAAGTCACCACTGGTGGGATTTTCAAGCGACAAAGTATATCCACTAGGGGTAGTTACCCTTCCAATCAATGCAGGAGCACATCCAAAGCAGGTCACTATGATGTTGGACTTTCTAGTGGTGGACTGCCCATCATCATACAACATTATCCTGGGGAGGACAACCATGAATACTATGAAAGTAATCTACTTCCCTTGTTAAAGGGTGAGCTGAGTGAAGCTCGTACTAATTTACTTCCCTTGTTAAAAGGTGAGTTGAGTGAAGCTCATAGTAATATACTTCCCTTGTTAAAGGGTGAGCTGGGTGAAGCTCGTAGTAATATACTTCCCTTGTTAAAGGGTAAACTGGGTGAAGTTCATAGTAATCTACTTCCCTTGTTAAAGGGTGAACTGGGTGAAGCTCATAGTAATCTACTTCCCTTGTTAAAGGGCGAGCTGCGTAAAGCTCATACTAATCTACTTCCCTTGTTAAAGGGCGAGCTGAGTGAAGCTCATACTAATCTACTTCCGTTGTTAAAGGGTGAGATGAGTAAAACTCGTATTAATCTACTTCCCTTATTAAAAGGACGAGCCGACTAAAGATGTCAATAAACTCAAGTATAAAATAACATAATGTGACAATCGAAATGGCAAAACATAACTGTCCATCCTACTCATCAACCCTACACATATAAATGGAAACTAATTGCAAAGAAAGAGAAGTCTCAACCATAAAGAGAAAAGTGGGAGCAAATAAATGAATAGCTACGCATTTATCCTACTCAGAGTCACTCGTTTCATCCAATTGAATGACAGAGAAGTCTTGGTCTGAAAATTCAGAAGCAGCATGATTCCAAAAATCTTCGAAGTCGTCCAAATAGGCTTTCAATTTATAAAAGAAGAACGTAAACAGATAAGGAAGAGATTTATGGTGGAATTCTAATAGAAATCTGCTTCATGAGGGACAATTATCTCCCAGTGGGCTATTTTACGTAGGAATTTACTTCTATAAGGTGGAATCGCAGACGACATGTTGGTCAGAGAATATGATTAGGAGTCAATCCTCGAATAGGACAATCACACTGGCAACCCCACATGAGTTGCTTATGTGCCGAAAGGTAGGCTGCCAACATGGCAACTTGCCACGTATACGAGCTATCAATGTGGCACTACGACAAATATGTCAAAGACATCTACGATCCTAAAAGAAAATTAATTAAAAAAAAGAGTTAGGCTAAATTTGAGTCAGACTATACCCCCGACTGTGTCAAGCTAAATTTGAGTCAGGCTAAATTTGAGTCAAGCTTAATTTGAGTCAGGCTCAACCCCCGACTGTGTTCGCGAAGTGGCAGTATAAGTCAGGCTGATGGGTAAGGCTCTACTATCTAATAATCAAACCAACTTATTGTAGAAATACGAGGTGAACGGCTCTACAATTCTAAATATCTATTATTATGTAATATTTGGGAATTAACGTTCCGGTGATTTGACAAGCAATCCTCCGAAACGGGGGGCAACTAATGGATGTATAATTTAAATACCCGCGGATAGGGGAATGTTGTTAAATTAACGCATTATCTCATAAGATTGAGATATGCTCTACATATTACGATAAGGATTAAGACGACGGTAGGTCTACGTTACATCTTAACCTAAGCCCTATAGATAAAGGGGCTAATCGACGTTTTAATGTATGCAATAGATCCTAACTCAATTTCTTGATTTCTTCAGAGAGATTACTTTGTATACTGACTTATTTGTTGGAGTCTACTCCACCGGTAACA